CTGTCAGCCGCGCACAGTTTAGAGTTTATACTCAAGCATATTTCTACATTTCTAGTGATGAATTCCCTAATTTTCCATTATCCAAACAAATACTAGCCAGTTTGATGAAATAGTTGGGTTCCTAGCTCTGTTGAAAACAAAATGCCTGTTCATGTGTTACAAGAATATAGAACTAGAGAATACGATTTTCTGTTTAGGCCAAATAAAATGTTTGAAAATTAAATGTCTATACTAGTTTTGAGATACTATAAATGATGTTAAATTTAAGAGCAAACTGCTTTAAAAGGTGGATTTCTTGTAGTCCAAGATGGAACAGCAAAATAGTTATTTTCTTCAAATATAACAGCTCACTAATTGAGATACTTTCAACCCTACTGAGCAAAAACGGGATTGGATTGTTGTTAGGATTCCTCTGTTCAAAGTGGCTTTTAAATGCTAAATATATGGTCTAACATGCAGGGAAAATTTACACATATATTTTTAAATGTCGCCTGTATGTATTTTGGTCTCTATATTCATCCTGTGACGACGCATAGTTGAACAAAAGTGTCCACTTCAAGTTCTAAATGCCACAAGGTCCACCCTTATATTTAGCAGTTCAGACACTTCCTGAGCAACAAGCAATTTGCTGCAACTTGCTACGGGACACATTATGAACCACAGCTGAAAAAAAAAAACAAACCAGCTCATCAAACTTTTGAATTTGTCATATATGGATTCACTCAGTGTTTGACTGAAGGTATTAAACTATTACTGTCGATGTTGTTACAGTTGGTTCAGACTATTGTAGTACAAACTGGCTTGTTTCCTGTTTTGTATGTTTTCTGTTTTTTTATGTCTAAGCTGCAGAGTTGAGCAGCTGGGTCATCATTTGCCCCCTAGTGGTCTTTATTGCCCGCTTTATGAAGCCCTTTGGCTCAGTGCAGATCTGACTTTAATCAATCAGTGTCTGATGCTTTTACTCCTGATGCTTTCCCACCATCTTTTATGACCCAAATTTGCTAAAAATACAAACATTAATCTACAGAACCTTTACAATTCCTTATTCCTAAGGCAAACTGAGCTGAGATCAATTACATTATTCAGTTTTAAACGATGGTCAGACAGGAATTATAAGCTAAATTTGAATCATAGGGTGAAAATAATTTTTGCCTAGTTACTGCCATTGGTCGGTGTGGAAACTAGCCTCCAGAGAGTTTAGCTTCCAGATTGTGCTTGAGATGTTTTAAGGAGTTAGCAGTTTGTCTTATCATCAGTAGATGTATGTTAATGTGTGCAGATCTCCATAGAGATGGCGTGCTAAGAGGGAGCTCCTCTCATCAACTCTTCATTTCTATGAGCACACCTGGCTCTCTCCACTTCGGTTAGGAAAAGCTCTTCTCCGACTTCATAAAGCTTTTTTTATTCAAGAATGAAAGATGTGTCTCCGGAGAGCTGCGTGCATCTTATTCTAAGATGTTTGTCATATTTGCAACCATCCTACATGCCGATATTGTTGAAACACGGGATTTAAGACAAATCATGAAAAGCTTAATGTTCGTCTCATAAAGTTCTACACACTTTGATTTACATATGCTGTTGTTATGCTTAAATAGTTGGCATTGTGCAAGTTAACAGCTGCTACCTACAGTTCTTCCTTCCTGTCAGCTTTTACTTCCCTCTGAGGCAGTTTACTGAACTCAAAAGTCTAAAATAAAAAAAAAACAGGAATTTTTTTTTAAATTGCAGTTTATTTTGAGTCTCGTATGTTCATAATGTTGAGAGATATATTAAATATGAATGAATTATTGTATTTGACACTTTTTCTCCTTCTCTTTGTCCATGAACCATCTTTTTGAATCCTTTCATGCCTCAGAGAGATTAAGAAGTGTTTCAGTCATCTTAAGCTGCTCAGAGTATAACCTATCAACAGTTACCATGTCTTTTTCTGTTCCCTTGTGTGACAGATTGCATTATGTTTTAACAGTGTACCTGTAGCTTTTTGCAAATGCATATATATCTCATTAATTGTAGTTATTTGTGTTTTGTCATTTTCAGTGTAATTAGGGCTTTTTCATGGAGAAGAGATAGTTGACCATTCTTACTGAAGGAGACATGTTGCTGTATAATTAAAATGCAATCTTAAAAATACGTAGCATTTCTGTCTTCCTTCTTTCTCCAGAAATTCAATATGCCAAAAATTTTTGACAATTGATGTCTTATAGTTTTATTTTCAAAAATGTTCACTTTAAAGTTCAAGTGCACAGAGATTAAATGTAGACCATGACATGTGGGGCCACAGGCAGATATTTGCCGTGTTTATACTTTCTGTCAATATTATTGATGAACGATGTGGCCTTAGGAAGTCAAACGTAATGTGACCTTTCAGAATGTGCAACCATCCTACATGCTGATATTGTTGAAACACTGGATTTAAGACAAATCATGAAAAGCTTAATGTTCGTCTCATAAAGTTCTACACACTTTGATTTTGAGTATTAATGTTTTGAGCTACTAGCAAATACTGTGATGGACATTAATGTGGCTGGAATATTTAATTTAACTGGTTCTAGTTTTGTCGTGAAGCAGCATGAGTAATTTTTAATACCCAACATTGGAGGTTTATTGTTTGCACTTAAACTAATGTTCTTGACAGATACATACTATACTTTCTGCGTGTCTTTTAGGGAACCAGATATTGATATTCCCTGAAGTTTATCTGCTCCTGTCTGCACTGCGCTTGTTTTAGGGTTTGGATTTCCTCTCAGTTCTGCTTTGTCATCTGGAAGGGAGTTGATTTCCATGCAGACGGGAAGATATATCATGTTACTCTGTAGTGTGAGAAACCATGATTAGTGCTTGTATGTGTTGTTATCACACAACAACAAAGCAAGCATCATAAAAAGCAGAACGTGTAGCTTACTCCTTTTAGTCACTTGAAGTTGGTTCTGCAAATTATTTTTGAATGTTTTGCTTTATAAAAACATTTTAGCCTTTTGAAAAAACTTTAAATATTTAGTTGTGACAATGAATAAAAAGTTTCTATTTTTTAGCTCCACCATGCTCTCTGAACGTTTAGGAAGTATGTTTTTGGTCAATTTTTCCCTCTTTGCCAGGATGCAAATTATGATATGAATGAAAATTTTAACTTAGCAAAGTTTTGTGAGCGGACATAACCATATGATGCAAATAATATCCAGTTTGAGAGCATGGATGAAATTTGTTTTAAGTCAATGGAAGTCATAAATTAAGTTTTTAGACTTAACAGAAAACTAATAATTTTGATCTTATAGTCTCTTTGTTGACGGTATTTAGTTTTGAGTTGACTTTTTATGGCTTTTGCAGTTTTATATATGATGCATTTTTTTTAAAGGTGCTAGTTTTTCATTCACTCAGTAAGCATGTAGGGGTTTTCTCTCTTTGCTGTGTTCAACTGTTAAACATAACTGAAGGAGATTTTTCAAATTTTGCCACAATACAGCCAATAATTTTAATGTATTTGACATAATAGACTGACAGAAAGTAGTGCATATTTGTGAAATAGAAAGGGATGCATGGTTTTCATTGAACCATTCACTCACGATGAACCATTGTGCCTCTAGTTGTATGTTTTAGTGGATGTTATTGATAAATTTTGGAATTGTGATAAATGCACGTTTCTCGGTCATGATTCCAACAGTGGATGTTAAATTGAAATGCAAATGTGAGTTCAAAATTTTTTTGAACAACTTAGCCGGCAGTTGGTGCTTCGTCATCTGGAAGGGATGACAATCTGAGTCCTTTGTGATCTTAATTTGCACACAGTTTGACTAACTATGCAACAGAACCCCGTCTTCCACATCTTTGATCTGTGCCCAACTTCAAACTGGACAATCCTTTTTTCTTTTATTTCATAAATATTTGCCACTTTATGTAGATCTAACTCATAAAATTACAATAAAGTGTGACTCAGTTCAAAGACCAAGTTTTTTTGTTGCATTGCATACAATACGTTTTGGTGTTATAAATAAACAGAAATAAGAAATAAATACTTGTTTGCTAAAGTTTCGGTTCTATATATCATCACTAAATGTTCAACTGAGGTCACTGCTTTTAAAAAATGTCAAAAGACTTTCATATTTGGTTTTAGAGTAGGCGACAGCCTTCCAGGGCAGATTTGAAAGTGACAGTCAATAATGCGAGTATCACAGGACTGCTGGTCATTTTGCTCTTTGTCAGCAGTTCTGTAGTGCTGAATGCAGGGCAACCAGAGGAAAAGAAGCTCCTGATTGATTCCCAGGCTCATAAAAAAATAATCACGTCCTCACCATTTCCTTCCCTTGTGACCTCTGGGTTTTCAGTGCAGCAGAGAACAATGATGGTAGTAGTAGAAAGATGTGCTCAGTAAGTACAAGACTAAGCACAACTTTTAAACCATTGATTTAAGGGATTTTCAAATATAGAGTTGGCAATGAGAGGGAAGATATGGGTGATTATTCCAAATCGCTCAATAAATCTTTTGCAGCAGAGAAAAGCATGTCATTCTTACATGCTGAAATACCTCAGACTAAATTATATCACAATATTTTATGTTGCTATTGTGTTTTATAAGTAATTGTATGGTTATGAATGCATTATACACCTTTAAATTATTCTTGAAAAATATTCTCATTTGAAATATAGACTTCTTCAGGATCTTGTTTACTTTTAAAAAATGTGATTATTATCACTAGACTGCTCAGTGTAACTGCATTTAATCATATTTCCAAATTTACTGATATGTATTGATTTTCTTGTGGAAAAGCAATGGATAGATAAAATAGCAAAATAACATTTCTAATCATACTGTCAGTTTTTTTTATTCAACATCAATGAGGGAAATTTATGAGGACAATGTTGAACCAAAAGTCTGAATTTTTCATGATAAATACTCACCTGTATCTCATACTACTCTATATATGTATTATAATACAATTATATCCATTCATAATATGTGTGTAGTTTGATCTGTAAGTCCTAGGTGTCCTTGTTTCCCCTCTCAGCTGCGGCTGCACAGGCACAAGCCGAGGAGAGGCGTAGCTTAGCAGGGAACAGTCCAGGACCTTCAGCCGTCTCCCCATCCAAACCTCAGGGCTGTAAGCCAGGTACATGACACCACACACTGACACAGATACAATCAAAGTTCTCTCACAACTTTTATCTTCCATAATGTTAACGTGATCCACCTCCGCCATCTTCCTAGTGTGGCTTAAAGAAGGTTAGTCATCATCTTATTACTGTAACAGTTGCCAAAGCTCATTAATGACAGTCACATGCACACATCTGCTTCCACCATACAAAGCCTTCGAAGCACTCTGCTTCTGTGTAATTCCCTGTCAAGTTGTCTGGATTGCTGTACAAGGTTTTTAGTTTTTAACCTACTCTATACCTTCATGTCTTCAGTTATTGACGGCGCCGCACTTAGAGTAGACGACCGGCTGCGAGTGGCAAAAGAGAGGCGAGAGGAGGCAGAGAAACAACAAGGTAAGAGAAGAATATGGCTTACTTTCTTTCAGCTGCTTAATAGAAGCATTGCATGCAATAGATTCATCAAGAACGTGTGTCACTGCTAGTTATAGCTTCAATGCCAAATGGCTTTTCATTATAGAGATTATGCCACACCTATACATGAAGCACTGCAGATTAAGTGTCTGGTTTTCAGTGGCACACTTTAACAATCCCTAAATGTTGTCAGCTTTACGGGAGTCTCAGATCATGGAGCGGGAGCGCAAAGCTAAGCTGCAAGTGGAACGCCAGCTGGAGGAACGTCAGAAAAAGCTCGAGGAACAGCGGAGGAAGGAGGAACAGAAACGATTAGCTGTGGAGGAAAAGAGAAAGCAGAAGCAAGAAGAGGAAAAGGTAAAAAGTTCTAAATTCTTTTCTTATATCACATGTGTCAAACTGAAGGCCCAAGAGCCAAATCTGACCCACCATAGCTCTTTATGTGGCTCTCTGGGCTCCAAATTACATCAATAAATGCCTTCAGTTTTTCAAAATTCACAAAATCAACAGATCCCTACATTGTTTCTGATTTTACTTCAATATTTCTCTCAAAATTGATCACAAACATTGGGCTAAAGTAACTGCTGCCTCAGCCATACTTAGTGTCGCATTGTAGTTTGTGATTAATGAAGCGAGTAATGAAAAGTCACATTTAACATCATACAAATATTTCTAAATTAACACCACAATCTCTGATTTTTATTGCAAAAACACACAACATTCACAAAATTCTGGAGGGACTGATCGGTGTGAAAATTTTTCAATATTATTAATAAACAGATGTTTGTTTCGGGATCCAATAAGTGTTTCTTAAAATTAAATATTTTAACAGTTTATTGGGTTTTATCAACACATTCTGGCACAACCGGCCCTTTAAGAACATTCAGATTTTTGATGTGGCACGAAATAAAACTTGAGTTTGACATCTTAAGTTGATCACCTTATATTTTCTTAAAAGCTAATTTTAAAACAAATAGATCACGGTTTATTTGTTCTAGCTCTTGTGCAGCGAAGGACATCAATATATGTTCACCCTTGGAGGCCATCTGTGGCAGAAAACAATGACTTGTGTTTTCTTTTGTCGTTGTTCAGGAGCACTACGAGGCAGTTATGAGGCGAACACTAGAACGCAGTCAGCGAGTCGAGCAGAGACAGAAGAGGTGGTCTTGGGGAGGATTGTCCGGAGACCAAGATGGCCGAGCAGGTACAGGAACTATATGCTGATTAAGCCTTATGGTTGTTTTTGTGTTTGTTTGAGGCATAGTAAACTTTTTAAAACAAGACTTCAACGTTTTGAAGTCGGTTCACGTCAGCAGACACAGCAGGTTATGCTTGTTTAATATGCAAACTCTTCATACCATGTTCTTTATTTAAAACTACAAACTTCAAAGTGTTTCACTGTGATTTTGTATGATAGACCAAATTAAAGTAGCGCATAACTGGAAAGTGGGGGGTAAATATGTGGTTCTCAAAATACATATAAGTCTTTACAGTTTGGTGTGCATTTTTAGTCTGTCCCCTTCACTCTGATACCTCCAAATTAAATACAGAGAATCCACATTGCCTTTCTAAGTCCAGAGTAATTTAATGTGCTTCATGAAAACAGCTGATTTGTGAAGGCCTCTGAGGTTTGTTAGGGAAAATCATCGAGTGAATAGCTTCATGAAGATCAAGGAATATGGCAGACAAGTCAAAGAAACAATTGTAAACTGTTTTTAAGTTATACAACAACACCCTGAGTTTTAAAGCTGACAGTACACTTTTCAGTCCATCATCTGAAAATGAGGTAGAGTTTTGTCCAACTGGCGACTTTGGAGCTGGAGTAGAAGATGTGCCCCACAAATATGGTCTTTATGTAAGATTGGCTTGAAAAAAAGCCTCGACTCCAGTTTGTCAAAAACCATGTTTTAAAAACTCCAAGCGTGTGGAATAAGGTATTCTGACGAGATGAGATTAAAATTTAGCATTACATGCATGTGAAACGCGGTGTGGATGTTCACCTTCAAGCAGCTCCAGAACCCATGGATTATTTTCCTTCCACATCAGAGTTTTGTGCTACTTTTTGTTTGTGTGTCACAAAAGTTCTCAGTAACATCCATTAAAGTTTGACAAAATGTGCAAATATTCAACTAGCATGATTAGTTTTAAAACCCGCTCTAAAACACTTGTTATTCAGATTATTAGCTAAACCTGGTCATTCTTTTTAACTGGGAGAATTAACCACATCAACAAAATCCATCTGTATACCTTTCAGGTGTCATATACTGTGTGTTATGAATATTGTTCTGTTCTTTGTGTGAAGGATGTGTCCCATCCTCGTGTTTTTGCTCCACTCAGAGCTCTGTGTTTTCCCACAGGAGATTCTGACGCCAGCATCTCTTCTCCAGTAGCTATAGTTGTCTCCTCTCCCTCGCCAGAAAAGCCACCAAGGAGTGGACAAGGTTTTGTTTGTTAATTTGTTTACCTTTGTGCAGCATGGACTGTCACTGGCACCACAAATGGCTTGTTTACCTTCTGTCCTTTCCACCGTCACATGTTGTCCCATCTACTCCTTGCCTGGCACTAACAAGTTTTTTTTTTTTTTTTTTCTGAGGCATTAATCCGAAAGGTTCATTAGGTTTGGTGTTTAGCTTCACGTGTGGCTTTCTCACTTACTGCTGAGCAGGTTTGGTCAAAATATTGGATTTACTCCTGTTTCTGCTATTTCTAAGAGAATTAACAGCCGGTAGATATATGGAAAGCAGTAGTGCTCTGCCATATATTGCACATTTATTATCGCAAAGTCATTTTACGCTGTAAGCTTTGCAAGGAAATGCTTGGACTGCTTTAAATACTAACTTCATTGCACAATTACCATCAAATCTGGGTATTTATGCTAATCATGTATGTCTGGAAAGCTAGAAAAAGGTCAATATTTTTGTCACTCATTTCAGTAAGTGAAACTTGTACAATATATGGGTCTGTCAAACACAGATTGAATTATTTCTTGTCCAGTACAATAGATCAAAATGGGACTATTGATTCCAGTGATTGCTTAAGGTAATTTTGCCCAGCCCTACAGCTGTGCACATCCAGGTGACACAGGCTTCTTGGCATTGAAACCTTTCAAATGAAAATCAACAAAGTACCACTATTGTCTGTTGTTAATGCTGTCTGGTTATGGTTGGCTAAACCCAACATGTGTTGTCTGCTGACCACAAACTGGCTTGTTCATGTTCTGGATTTATATTGCATTGACTGAATGTTGCACAAATAGCTCGTATAACTGGAAGTAAACCTGATTATTTTCTCTTAAAGGAGTCAGATAGTCATAGAGCCTCGTAGTCCCTTGTCTGCACCGTAAGTCCCTTCCCTATTGGTTGTCCTCTGGTAAATCCCTCCTCCCTTGTCTGTTCTTCCTCCCTGCTTTTAGTTGACAAGCGCTCCACATCCACAACTAACCTGAAACAGCCGCCCGAGGCTGGCATCAGCAAACGTTTATCCTCCTCCTCTGCCACCCTCGGTAAATCACCTGACAAAAGTAAGTCCTTCCTCTCCCTCCTCCTCCTCCTCAGATTGCTTTCCAATGCTCTGACCCCATACAGTAAAATCCTCTTAATGTTTTTTAGAATAAATATGCACAGACTGAGATTAACGAGGTTTCTTCAAGCCTCTCCCTGTGTCTGTACTAATTGTCTAATAATCTCTGAGTGTTTAGATTCTGGTTAAATTATTTCACATCAGCTCTTGTGATGTAGCTCCATAAAACCACTGCCTGTTCTTAATAATTCTGTATTTTAATGCACTGAATTGAATTTTCTGATAAATTGTGAGTTTTAGTCACCGAATGGTAAAGTTGGGGCCTTTTCAGTCATTTTAAGTGCCATTATTTTTCATGTGGAAGCATGTTTTAATTTCAAAACTGCCTGTTAGTACAACAGTGTTTATTTCTATTATTTTGAATGATTATGGCTTACATCTCCCAAAAAATCCAAATTGTGTTGATCAGAAAGTTATACTCTTGAAAGTTGAATTGAGAATAATAATTGTAATCCAAAAAATACTGTCTGTGTACTGTATAGTATATTATCTATCCTATTCTTACTTAGGAATTTTAATAATTGACTTACTGTGTGAATTAGATGTAGCATGTTAAGGTACACCTTCTTCTGTTGCATGTTTTCCTTCCACTCAACTTTCCACTAATATTCTTTGATACAAGATTTTGCTCTTTTGTTGTTTATTGTGCAAGTGAAGGTTTTCAGTAACTATTTGAAGGACATCTGTCAAGTCAGCAATTACAAATCTGTATTTATGATCTTTTTTGCACAATCTCCAATGATAAGATGTAACCTATAATCATTAAAGATAACGAAAACAAATTCTTGAAATTCATCTATATTCTGTAAATAAATTACTTCAATTTTTTTATAAAATGAAACTATATACATTTTAAACTATGTCAGGTGATTGGACATTTTTTTCCTGTTTCAAAATAGATTTGTTTTCACCTCTATGCATTTTTTTTTATTATTTGTACTTTGATTTAAGCATAAAGCAGTAAAATAAAGTCTAAGAGACTTTTCTAATAATTACTAGAATTTTTTCCATCAAATTTTACCTGTGGGTGTTTGATTATTGTTTCTCAGGTGTTAGGCCGAGGAGTTCGTCTTGCAACCGCTTGCCAAGCAATGGCACGGCTGCTCAGGCCTGTAAGGGAGATGGCAAACAGCTTCAGGTGGAACAGACAGGTGCAGACGATCCCCTCTTCTATCCTTATTATGCTTTTAGACCCAAAACCGGGTCACATCGCATCACTCATCAGAGCGCTGATACATTTTCAGCTCTGAAACTGCTTAAAACTCTAAACTGAGTGAGTTTTCTAAGTCTTGCTGATATGAAAGCCTTTCAGCTGTTGGGCTTGTTTCTTCTATAGTGTTTTTTTTTTTAAGAAAAACGTTCGCTCAAACAGTGGTAAAGCTTGTCTGTGTGTTTACCCATTATCTCTCAAACTAGGGCGTCAGCTGCTGGCAGCGCTGACCCTGGTGACTTGCATAAGGCCAAACGAAGCGCACATGACTCGCAAACTCTTTGCTGGGCTTTTACTTGTTGACTCGCTCCGCAGTGTGTGGTTGGCTATAACTCCACTCTCATGTCTTTAGGACGCTCTGTGAAGAAGAGAAGTACCTCCCTCACACGAGTAAGTGTGAGCAGAGCACAGACCCCTGCCAAGCCTGAAAAGGGGACAACGGACGATCAAGGTGGCTAGCATGGAAAAGCAGCATGCATTGCTCGGGTCGCCTCCTTTCTAACAAGCATTCAGCTTCCTTTTCCTAAGCACTTCTGAGAGAAATGTTTATCAGCTGTGGATGTCCTGGTTGGTTTTTGCTTGTCTTCTGCTCTTTAAACACATCTTTTGCCCTGAATGGTCAATTCCTCTTAAAGCAGATGCTATTCTTCACTATACTGTTGACGTTTGTAATGAAATACTTAGGGCTGGATGATATGACTGAAAAATGTATCACAATATAAGTGTTTCATATTAGTTGCTGTTGATAATTGAGTATCGATAATTGTTGATGCGTTTTTCAATTTGAAATATCTGTCATGCTGACAAACTGGTGGTGTGACCTTTCCACTGTTTTCAGTCTGTTTTATTTTTTTAAGCAGTTAAGGAGCACAATGGCAAAACCTTAAACTGCTGCTGCGCAAGTTACTCAGGAGGTTGTTGCTAGGTAACCAAAGAACGATTGAGTGAGTTGCTAGGTAACCACAAAGTGAGAGAGTTTCCACAAACCTTTCTTAGTCGGCTTTGAACCTTTCTTCTTCCTACATCTCCCAGAATACTGAGCGGTTCTGGATCAAAGTTCAGTGAATATTCTACATATTGACTATTGAATATTCTTCCATGTCTGTTGCGATTATACATAATCGGTTTATTGTCCAGCCCTAAAAATACTTAACATTTCTGCTTCCCTAACCCTACTCAGTGTTTGCCACTTTGGTTAATCTTTTTGAACCTTTTTCATTACTAAGCCTCTGTACAGGAACCGTTCTGTTGTGTGTTGTCTGCTCTAACACGGTTTTTTGTCCCGTTGTATCAAAGTGATGGTTGTCTTCTCCCTTCAAGATGGCGTCATTGCTGGATTTAACTTGCCCTTGCCTCAGTGTGGTGTCTCTCGGTGCCATCCTTCCACAGAAGCACGAGAGCGCAGAAGTAACAACAGCAGCTTGTTGCAGGCTCCATGTTGCTGTTAACCACAAGTGCTTTTTTTGTTTGTGCTTCAGCCACATTGTCCTGTTTGTGCCAGTGAAATTCAAATGATGTTATTGTCTTGTGTTTTCTGTGTGGTTAACTTAGCTATTGATGAAGCAGAGTGTTATATCTAAATCCTCTTAAACAGAGACCTTCTTATTTTCTTTGGCATGATCTTACCCGTGTCTAGGAAGAAATTAAAAACTGAGTTTTGAACCTGAATTACCGACCATCTGTTATTGATCTGTCATCAGCAGATGTCCTGTCAGAAAGGGTTTCCTGCTGAGAAGCTAGTTTCCCACTTGAGCTTTTGTTACCTTACAACAGGCAAACCTCAATGCAATTTACTAGGATTTTATGTTTCATTTAGTCCCCTCCTTTGCACCATTTTCTTCATGTGGGTGTTTTATATTTGCCACATCTTCATTATCTGTGGTGGAGATGTGCAGCAGAAGTTAATTAACCCTTGCATGGTCACATTCATTCACTCTATCACTTTGTCTTTGGTCTGTTTCACTCCTCACACAACTGTATTCTTCAGGATCAATTAATGTTATTTTCATCAGCATTCCTCCTCCTTCTAGGAACCATTGATTCGGCCGCACTGTCTAATTGACCTTCTGTTTTTACTCATGTTCAGTTTCAGATCATTTTTCTCTGTGCTCATTCATGGTTTGGACAGTGACACCTGAGAGACAGTCCATGTATGATTACAGAGACTTAACCTTTGGTTCAGTATGATTCTCTCCTGTTAAATCACCTGGTGACTTTTCTTTGTGCCTTCATCATCCCCAACTCTCATCCACCCATTCCTTCCTCTGCTGTTTTTCGGTGATTTTTCGGCCGTGTAGCCCGCAAGCCACCGGCCAGTACAGTGGATGAAGGGGTCCTTAGTCGCCTGCTCACTCCCACCCAGGCCTCACTAGCTAGGAGCAAGAGCGCCGCCGTCCTGTCCGCTGAAGGATCAGATGCTACAGGTAACCTCCGCTTAGGAGACCCTGACTCAGAAGAAGGATGGCTGGATCAGCACCCCTCTCCTGCCTATTAGAGAAGCTTAGTGTTTAAGAAGTACATGTTGTGTCTTTTAGTAGTACTTCTATAGGATTCTACTGAACTCTTAAATGCTTTTAATACCCTTTGACTTCGACGTTGGTGGTAGAATTAGAGAAAAAAAAAACATTGATAAAGCCTCTTTTAGCAATTTGCAGTGTTTACACACCGATTATTTTCAGTACATTACCCTCATGTGAGCCAAAGTATTAGGTAAATATTGACATGAACAGTGTTCCAGCTCACATGTCTGTTCGGTTCTGACACAATTGGCTGTTTGTTGAGCAGCAGCCTTGGTCACAAGCATTTCTTTCCATCTGACGAGCCTCACGCTCCATGAGATTTACCCTAAGCTGATTACCTATTGGTTCTTGTTACGTCTGAAAAGGTCCGCCGTGTTTTTATGCACGTGTTACGGTAGTGAGGCGACTTTTCATGTGATTTCGTTGATATTTGGACAAATTATGTTGTTCTAAAGTTATATCCAGTGCATTGTGCCACTGTGGCTGATGGGAATACAAAACGGACATCTCTTTGTATGCTTTATAAATTATGAAACAAGCACTCACTTTAGAGTTGCATGCACCTTTTATGTTATGGTGTTTATTGACTGGCCATTACAAGCCCATTAACAGCTATAGATCCTCTGGAGCCCAGTAGAGCCGTCGTCCTCGGCAGGAGGGAGAGCTCATGACAGGGTGTGTTACTCAGTCACCACTGCTGCTCAGTGCGCCGTCACCATGAATTACTGAGCACGTTTGGAGCGATATTGTGACAGGAACAGTTCGCCAGGTCTTGGGATTATGACGGCTAATCCCCCCAATCTGACACAGCAAGCTGGTGGAGAAAGCTATTTTCTCCTCCCAGCTGTAAACATGATTACTATAGTTCCTGACAGCCACTTCCATTCACAAGTACCTGAATTTGCTCATATGCATTTGTAACTATTTGATTTTCTGTAGGACTCAAAGATGCCACAAGCAAGCCTTTTTCTGTTATAAGAAAATGTGCTTAAAATAGTAATACAAAATTGGTCAGTATCTCCCAGAAAATGGTCCCAACTTTAGATATATTTTTAATTCTCACATAAATGCAAATCAGTCATTCTTGTCTTTAATGGTGAACTATTGTGATTCCAAGAAAAATTTAAAACAGACGTATTTGTCTAGTGTTTTTTTAAAAACGGTGTGTGTTTTCAGTGTTGTCTGTGGTTCCACATTTAGTGTTCTTTGTGTTATGACGTGCTTCCTGTTTAGATGTTTACGTTGTGTGTCGAAGCTTTGGTGGATGCAGTGTGTGTTTGGGACTTTTCTCAGATTGTTCCTCCTCGCTCATCGTATCTCCCAAAATGTAGAAATCAACCTAGAGCCTGCTTAAGTGCTACATCTAACAAATTGCTCTTTGTGTGCTTTTGTTCCCTCACAAACCACCCTTTCTCTCCAACCATCATCTGCCTTTCCCCAAATCTCCCTCTCTTCTCCCATCAACTCTCTTCACTCTTTGGCCCCCTTTTTTTTTTTTTTGCTGCTTTGCTGCCCAACTCGGTCACATCGCTCTCCTCCCATTGGTTGTGCTCCCCTGGTCCTGCGATGACTGTGTCCTTTACCAGAGTGTCACCTGTGTCCTCGTTCAGCCTCCCCCAGCCCCATGAACACGGCGCGCGGCCCCTTGCGCAGCCGCAGCATTGACCGACAGAAGAGCGGCATGACTGCGTCGAAATCGGCCAGCGAAGCCCTCGATACTTCCCTGGTGAGAGATCTCTTCATTCTCCAGTGAAAAAAGCAGCTTACTGCATCTTTTTTATTTAATTAAGCTGCATCTGTATCAGTAGGTTAGTTAGGATTACTTGGTTGTTGGGTCTAATGTGAACTGTATTCAAATTACTGAGTGACTCATTGAGGAAGAAGTCTGAATAACTATCAGAATGCATTTAGAGGCTGGATGCTGTTGGAAATGTTTGTAAAATGTGAATATCTTTACATTTTTATTTATTTACTAGCAACAGATAGGCATGGCACATTAATTAATTAATTGCATGTTAGATTAGAAGGAGCTCGATCATTTTTATTTGCATAATTTCTCATTTCTACTAAAACTGAATGGCAAAAGTCTTCAGTTTGGTACTTTTGCCTTTTCTTTTACGGACAATTTTGTTGCAGATGCTTCATAGTTAAATTTTTTTGTTTGTTTTTTTATTTTGTATATTTAAAATGTCCTTCAGCTTCTGTATTAAAAGTTTAAGTTTATTCATTTCTAAGAATGTGTTACCATTTTGAAGGATTACTTCAAAATTATTGCAAACAATATTATCGTTTATCACAATAACTTCTGGGACAATTTATTGTGATAGGCTTTTACATTTTCTGGTAGAGTTAACATTTCAAACTATTTTTACTAGTGAACAAATTTGATAGCTTTCTCCCAAGCATTTTAAAATAACGATACAAAATTCATACAATAACAATAAAATGGCTTTAAACTGGTTGAAAAATGGCATGACATGGTCTGATTTACATGCACATATTTACATTTGCCTGTCAAAGTATTATGCTAACCACAGGAAAATGCTGCTCCTCCTGTGCTTTGAACATGTCTGGTCACCTATTTGCTGCATGTGTTTATCCTCCAGAGGAATAGTTTCCTACTGCTGCACACAAAATCTACCTCTATGTTCTAACTTGGTGCCTGGCTCTGCAGCGTAATCTGCCCGTTCTCGTCTCCTCTGTGGATTTCATTGTTGTTGTATGAAACAAAGGGATCCACAGTGGCCGATTACGCCCGAGTCAAGCCATGCAAAGTAGACCGACCCCACCCTGGTCACAGAGACTAATTTAGGAAGCAGTTGACTTTTTTTTTTTTACTTACTTTATTGTTTTCTGTCCTCCTGCTCCTCATATTAAAAAGATAAGATCTAAATTAAAGTACGACAGCAGCGAACCTCTTCTTTGTGTGATTTGAAAAGAAAATCAGGCCTTTGAAAAACTGCTGCCTACAACTTGGCCTGACACAATAAACAATAGATCAATTAATCACATGGTAAATTAAAACAAACTCAATAATTTCCATCTGCTTGATTTTTATTTTTTCTCTTTCTCTCTTTGTACCAAAAACTGGATGACAAAAGTCTATCATTTTATTTGTTGTTTCTGATGTTTTGCTAATTAATTTTGGATATTTAAAATGTCTTCCAGTTCAAGACATAAATGTTGATTACAATTTAAAATTTATTGATCTTTGGATTATTACGCCATACTATATTACTCAAAACAACAATAATATTGTTTATCGCAATAAATTTTTATTTTTATGTCAGTCAAGTCGAGCAGACAGCTGAGCTTTTCACATGTTGTTAGTATTTTTTGCTTACATACGATTGCTATGTTCATTGTACAAAGGGAATTTAATTGTTTTATTTTTGTGTTGTATCTCTAATATTGTATAAAAAAGGGTTAAATTTACCATTTTTTTTATCCCATAAATTATTAGAACAATTGACTTTAAAATGGACTTGTTGCATGTTCACCCAGAACACTAATCCAGTGGTGAGTTTTAAGAGAAATGTGCTTTAATTTGTTTCAAATCTCAGGGCTCAAAAAGAACTGATTCCCTGGGTTAGAAACCACACAGGCTTCTTGGATGTCGGTTCATTAACTTTTAATGTCCAAGTGCTTTATTTAGAGCTGTAAACATGATAACAGACTGGCAGCAAGGTCATCCATGTGACTCCAGAGGAGACAAAGACTCTGTACACTTGAAGCCTTTGGCTCCAAATGATTAACCGGATCCATTTTCTTATGAGAACCTGCTTTAGGTCTTCACATGAACCCAACTACTGCAGGATTCATATTCAGATCAACAGACTTTTTGAAATTTCACATCAGACAAGGCATTTGTTCTTTTAACTGTTTTAAAATGAAGGTTTCTTCAGATATTTTATTTTAACTCATTCAAATTTGTCCTTTTTTTTGTTTCTTACAGAAAGACAAGCAATTAGCATCACCCAGGGGGCAACGTCCTGCCTCACCGTCAACCTCCATGGGACGCCATCGCTCACCGTCTCCAGCGCCGAGCCCAACTCCAAAGAGAACCCCGTCCCCATCAGCATCCAAGTAAGACTTTACACACACCCACTAACTTCTTTTGATTTGATTTTAAATAAAAATGTTACCTTTTTCTCTTACAGGCAAAGTCCCAAGACGCGCCCACCGTCGCCGTCTGCGATGAAGCAGCGTCCCCCGTCTCCTCAGCCCTCATCAGCCAAACCCCCACCCATCCAGAAACCGTCTCTCACACCAACTGGGCCACCAACGCTGCGAAAGAGGGACTCCAAGTCCAAGGACCTGGGTCCTGTTCAGCCTGTGGCTCCACAGGCCGCTGAGGCCAGCAAGACCAAAGACAAAGACGGTGAGCTGCGAAACATTCAGTTTACTCGATTTATGTAGCACCAGATTAGGCCTGCAACTACAGATTATTTTAGTGTTCCATTATTCTGTCAGATTAAAAACAATTTACCATATTCTGTTTTTTTTGCCTGTTTTTTTTTTTTTCTTTTAACCGTTTAAGCTTATTTAGTACAATATCACAAAAACATTAAAAGATGCAAATAAACCATTAAATTCTTTTTTTAAAATACTGAAGCAGTTAGGATGTTTGCTCTGGTTCATCCAGAAATGCTGACAATGTTGTCTTCCCATCTGAAGAGGGTAAATTTCACAGCAGCTCTTCGTTATGTTATGTTTACTTTCAGACTTTTTGTTCTCCAGTTTGATGCTGGGCAGGATTGTTCTAATCGTTTTCTTTCGAATGACCAAATTTCCTTTAATCTTTGCAAGTAAAATGTCTTGCTAATTCTCTGCTCAGTTCAGCTTACACCAAATTAATGGTCTGTAAACAGCAGCAGAACAAAATGCATGGTGCTTCTCTGCATTTGTTAAATTGAGAAAAGTTCTAACAGTGTGAAATCTTTCTGAATTTCTAAACAATCCTAAAAATCTTGTGTTTGTTGCACATTGACGTGGCAGCAGCTTTTCCCAGCATTAAATCCCTTTGGTGCAGGAGACTCATTATGTTCCAGCTGGAGTTGCATCCTGTTTCTGTTGCTTCTGCCACCCTCTGGACAGAATGGTGTACTGCAGGATGAATTAGCAGATTTAAATAATTTGGTGCTAGTACTTCAACGCAAAGTTTTTTACGTGTAAAAATTTTATTTTTCTATGCGGCAGTTTATAAAAGGAAAAATCACTTTATATATGTGTGAATAGTGCTGGTTTAAATCAACTTAGCCATGTAAAATCTATATTATAATTGCTCAGAAATTCTCTTCCTTGCAGAAGTATTTATACCTTCTGACAGGTCAACATGAAAACTGCAAGTTGCAGTTATTGTACTGAGATTTTAGCTCAGATCAGAAGAAAGTTTTGAATATTTAAATGGAAAAGAAAATTATAAACTAATTTTCTACAAATTAAAATTGAGAACAGTGCATTTGTTTTCCTTTCTCAAAAGCCTCCATCCTCGCTCAGTCGTATTGGATGGAGAGCATCTGTGAGCATACGTTTTAAAGTCCTGCACAAAATTTCGGACTGGATTTGGTCTGGTCTTTGACTAGGACATTCTAAGATGAATGTGTTCTAATCTAAACCATACTAGACAGGTCTGCTGCACATTGTAGCATTTATTTCAAGGGTTGTCCTGCCTTTAGCTCCATCTCCGGTGCAGCTGAGCTGATGAAAACAATCCCCACAGCATAATGCTGCCAACATTGAATTTAGCATTCAGTTAAAAAGGTCAGTTTCAGTCTCATCTGGCTTCTGATCAGCAACCTGCTTTTAGTTCAGTGTCACAGATGATCATCAGTTTCCCCCATGATGTACTAAGTTAGAAATTTCTGCACCAAGTAGTCAGGGTTGTGAATTATAATCTGTCTAAATTGTCATAGTGATTATAAACTTACTGACATTTCTTCTCGTCAGACTCAAAGACAACCGGCACAAATTCGGCTGCTGAGGCGGCTAAGATCCTGGCAGAAAATCGAAGGCTGATGAGGGAGCAGAAGGAGCGAGAGGAGCAGCTGAGGATACAGAAGGAGGAAGAGGAGAGGTGAGATTACTGCTGCACTGAGGCGCAGAAGTTACACATCACTACAGATTAATCAAAACAGATTAGTCTTTAATCTGTTTTGATGTACTAATATGTTCTCAACTAAAAACTTCTGTTTGTTTCTCCAGGCAGAGAAAAGAGGAAGAGGAGCGTTTAGCCGAAGAGGCTCGACTGAAACGCCTGGAGGAGGAGAAGAGGTTGGCCGAAGAGCGGAAAGCAAAAGAAGAAGAAGAAGCCCAACTAGCAGAGGAAGAAAGAAAAAGACTGGAAGAAGAAGAAGCGTTGAGGCAGGCCGAGCTCCAGAAGGAACGAGAGGAGGCCGAGGCCAAAGCCCTGGAGGAGGCCGAGAGGGTCCGCCAGGAGCGAGACCGGATCATGCAGCAGAACCAGCAGGAGCGAATGGAGAGGAAGAAGGTGGGACGGAGGAAGAATGGAAGCTGATTACTTTGGTTTTTAACCTGAGTCTCTTCTGGGAAATTACAGAAATTGAAAGAGTGGGAAATGATTGTGTTTCTAGATTTTTCTTTTGTTTTTCCCAGTTTTTATTTATTATGTATGTTCATCTGAGTTCTCCATTCATTTGTATCAGCCTCTTTTTATTTTCTCTTTCTCCTACTTTTTTCTTGCAGCCCTTCTTCCTTTGTTTCTTTCTCTTTCTTTTTCCTTCTAATTTTCTTTCTTTTCTTCCTTTCTTTCTATTTTCCATTCTTGCTTTTTTTCTTTCTTTGTCTTTCTATGTCTTCCTTTTTTGTTTCATCTATTCATTCTTTCTTTCGTTCTGTCCTTACATTCGTCCTTGTGTTTGTCTTCTGTTTCTTTTTGTCCTTGATTTTCATCTCGGTCCTGTCTTTCCTCGTCCTTCGTCCCTTTCTATTTTTCCTCATTTCTCTCATTTCCTCGTGTTGCTCCTTTAAGTCTTCCTCTCTTTACTTCATTTATTTTTCTTGTACTGTTTTATTCCTTCCTGTCGTTTTCTCCATCCATCCTTTCATTTAATCAGCTTCAATACTTTGGCATTATATATTTCAAAATGTATAAAAAAAGAGTAAGTACTGAGAACTCTGGAAAAGCTGGAAATTTCCCACAGGTACCTTGTCTATTGAAAACGTTTTTTTTCTCTTGTTTTCAGAGAATTGAAGAAATAATGAAGAGAACTAGAAAAGGGGACCAAGCTGACTTTAAGGTGAACTTTCAATTGATTAACACTCTGACATTCTGATCTCTGCATGATTGATCAGCTGCTGATCAGGTTGAATGATGTCTTGATTATTTCTGATTCAGAGAGATGACGATAAATACTCACATGAGAATGGAGATGAAGGCATGGATGAGATGAAAGGTGAAGCCAAAGGCAAGTGTGCCTCAACTTTCACAACAAAAAATATTTTTGCATTTAAATATGAGTGAAATTGAATCACATATGGAACCATTCATTCCTCAAACAGACGACGTTTCTGTGGACGATGACCAGGACGTTTTGTCCGCTGGAGATGCTGGGATGAAAAAAGATGGCAGCATGAACGGAAATCCAGAGACCGAAGACAAGGAGAACACCAACGGCACGACCGCTGACGACACGCAGGCAGGAAGGTGGGAAGTTAAAATGATTCCTCCTCATTTTAGTTTCTACAACTTGATGCATAAAATCGGAAATATTCACGTTGATCCTCTGACCCTTGACATCAAATTCAGCCATGGTTTGTAATGCTGTACAAAATAATACGTATTTTATAGTTTTGGCTTTCAACTTTTTAAAATCTATATTCTCCAATTAGCGATTAATCGATTACTAAATTAGTTGACGATCTTTTTGATAATCAGTTCATCACAGTTCATTTGATTCTCCCACCCTAATTCCTCCTGATAATCATGGATTTTATTTGAAATCTCATCCAGATCTATAGATTTGTTTTAAGTCGTGTTGATCTGTGAAACTGTTTTTGTGGGTTTTCCAGACATCAGCAGAAATTTCAACAAGTTTATGTGTCAAGCTTATGCATTATCAGCCTGGCGGGCCACCAGGCTTCACTTGCCCTCCCACCAGGCTAAGCATTGTTTTTTATTATTAACAGTGAAATAGAACAAAGACAGGTTAAAAAGTTTCTTTGGTGAAACTATTGGAAGCGCAAAAGGCAACTCTGCACATTCAGTGAAACAGAAGCCAGGTGTCTTTTTTTTAGTTTACCAGGACTCTGTAACCACTTCCTGTTTTTAACGGTCAACACGCTACACAAGGTGACACGTCAAAAAATTTAGTTGCATGCTAAATTTTTTTATGTCTGCCTTTTATAAGACTTTGCATCTGGTTTTTAGGTGTTAATGTATAATAACTCTTACACTGAATCTTTCCAGATAATTCCGGTCTAGTCTCTAGTACACACATTTTAGGACAATTGAAATAAAACAAAACTAATTTACAAATAACAAGAGCTTGTTTTAAGTCAATAAGTCTGTAATATTGATGAAAATTTTCTTATTTCACTTGTAATGCAGGAAAAAACATAATGTTGTTTTAAGTGATATAATTAATATGAAGGAATTATTGACTTAAAATAAGCTCCTACATCTTGCTGACTTGTAAATTAGATTTATTTCAAGTCTACTAGGATATTTTTGGTCTAGTTAAAATTTGTACCTACTTATATTTTCAGATTTCTTGATAACTTTAAACATTTTTTAACTCAAAAACATGGCGGGCTGCCGGATGGCTGACCTAGCGACCCTAGCATCGGGTTCAGCAGGTTTTCTGGGGAAAACCATGTTAAATACGGCTCAGAAGTGAACTTAGAGCAGGATAGTTTGGGAAGGTTCGCAGGAGACTCGGCTGCCATTAATGGCTTTCTCCGACTCCAGTCCGGTTCCGACAAGCCGCCTCGTCGAGGGCTCAGAGTTCCTGAACGAGGAGGACTCCACCAAAGACGGCTTGGTGTCCAGCCTCAATGGGAAGCCCAACCAGTGGAGCTTCGAGGAGCTCATCGACACCAACGTACACGCTAAGACTCGGCCTCTCATTGAGTCCGAGGACCGCAACCAGGTTTTAATCCACTGTGACGGGAGCTCAGATGGGACCAGGGTGGCCTTTGAGGAGAAGGGAGCCCCCATCAGCACCCAGCACTCCTCCAATCAGCCCATCGAAGCCATGTCAGGTGAGGCTTCACGTCTCTGCTTTACAAACGCTGAGTTGGCGTAATCTCCCCGCTGGCTGAAGCTCTTCTCTCGTTTCGCCCCTGCAGAAATGTGATGCTGCGGGCGTCTCAGAAAAGCCTCTTTGTGTTGCACTCCGACCTTCCCTGAAAGAATCTTCTAGCCGTTCCAAACAGTTCCCACCTTCCTGCAGGAGGCGCACAAGACGAAATGGAAAGACCACCCCAAGTGCTGCAGTTGCTCCCCAAGCAACGAGGAAACAGATTGAATTAAATTAAAATATAATAAAACGCCACGCTTCAGGGAAATGTTTCATGTTCCTCGTCTTTCCTCTTCCTCTTGTGTTTAGTTTCAATTCCATTTTGTGTCAAAAACTTTTGTATTTTCTTTTTGTTAGGGGTGCGTTCTTATAATTTATTAAATTGTTTTTGCTTTATTATTGTAATTATTATGTTTAGTATTGTTTTCTCTCTTGTATGAGAATATTCCATGACACGTGAAAGTCAGGCCGTGTGAATTATATGATAAATATCTAAAGAAATGTTAATAATCATTGTTATTCCTGTCTGGGTTCGAGTGGAAAGCTTCGTTCTGCATGTGGTTCGTCTAAATTCACTTGACTGGCTGCTTTTTGCAGCACTCAGCTACATGTATGGCCTTACCTTTTATTTTAAGTGCTAAAATGCATAATTATTATGAAGCTCATGCACACACAGTTCAGCAACGTGACTCACTGACAAACACGAGATAAATCTGGCTTTGTTTTTTCCTTTTTCTCACACCGTCTTGTTTTCTCTTTTCTAGCCACTAGGGGGCGTCACAACCACAAAGGCGAAATATTTTGAGCCTGTTCATGTGGGTAGAACTAATGTTTACTAACGCCACTGTAATGGATCTGATTTTAGTCTCATATCTTTATCTTTGCATCCAACTGCAACAAAACTCGTTAAAGGGATAGTTTGGATTTTTTTATGTGATTGCATCTGTAATCTTTTTTATGTGGAGTGAATTACTGATAAAAAACTAAACATCAAAAATCCAAGGTATCTCTTCCTCCTCAGTTTCACGTTCTCACACCTGCTGCTACATCTGGTTAAATGCATTTCAGCTCTTTTGGTAGTGTAGAAAATGGCGGATTGTTTATATTTAAGTGTTATTATGTTTTGTACATAATCAGTATTAGGCGAGTGAAGCCATGTTTAGGACGGAGGCGGCTCAGGTTGTGGTTTCTTGGGGTCTTCTTATTGGTTACCGTTGTAGCTCGAGTGGTGCGCTGTGATTGGTTTAGCTCAGTTTGGCTCGTTTGTGTTAGAAAATCCTTTAACAAAAGCGACTTCATATTTCCTTAAATCTGAAGACAAAGAGCAGTTTTAATGTTGATCTAAAACATCTTTGGGCCATTTTGGCAACTTGTCTGACCTCTGACCTGAGTTGTTTTATACACAGATGTGGCATCGGCTCAGGTTTCAGCTCTCACTGTACTAAAGAGGAGCATTTTCACCAAACTAAATAATGTGGGTCAGACTTAATTTTTCTGTTTTCCTTCCTTTTTTTCATGAAATCCATAAAAATGCTAATATTCCTTTTGCTTGAATAATCCAGACTTGAGGTTTTGGGGACCTTGACGTTTGCCTTGTTCTCTTTGTACATGAAAATATTCTGGGTTTAAATTATTTGAGCTTTGATTAATAAGCTCAGTGAATGTTACAGAACCTCACCAAATTTCTAAGAGCCGCTCACTTCCAGCTTTCGCTTCATGAAGTCTCTGGGAAAACGCTCCACCCCATCTGATGACTTGTTACTGGGACGCTGCGATGTTTTGATATTTCTTCATATTTTACTCCCCATCAAATGTAGACCTGTTTATAGTCGCAGGTGTTCTTTGTTTCCCAAGTTTTGCCGCATTTCTAAATACTAAACTTAAAGCTCTTTGTCTTTAATATAATGTTTGGTAGAATAGAAAGGTGCCTTAGTTTGAGATGTACTGTTTTTATCTCACAGTTGACGGTGTCTTTACCTCGGCCTCGACAATCAGTCCACCCATTCAGGGCGACTCTGAATATAAATATTTCTCTGGAGGATTTGCTCTCAAGCCCTTGTTTGCAAATAAAATCTGTACTGTAAATATATCTAAAGAGAACAGATATGATACAGACTGTTAAAACAATAAAGTCTAAATGAAAATATTTCCATTGTGATTCTGTTTCTTGTGCCAAAGAAAAGACAAATGACGTCTATACATCCTTTATTTGTTTCCTTTAAGCCTCAAGTTTTAACTACGCAACAGGTTTATTATCCTACGATGGCGTTTAAGGGCTATTATTGATGGGAGAAAAAAGTAAATTTTTGCCAAAAACCTTTAAAATTGTTTAGATTAATCTCAGAAATTTTCTAGAAAAAAAACCCTAGAAATTTCTTGAGCTCCAAAAGTCAAAAATTTGCTACAAAAAAAAACTCAGCAATTTTTAGATTAATCAGAAATTTTCTAGAAAAGAAACTAGAAAAATTCTTTGCTTGAAAAAAAGAAAAATTGCTGGAAGAGTTGATTTTTGAGACAAATTTTCTAGGAAAACACTTATAAATGTCCAAGTTTCAAAAGGCAAACATTTTTTTTTACTTTTGGAGATTTTCAGTTTCAAAAATCTTTTTCACTTTTGAAACTCAGAAATTAAAAAAAAAATTAAAAATTCTAGAAATTTCATGTTTTAGAAATCTCAATTGTGAGATTAATCTGAAATTTCACAGTTTTTGGTAGAAATTTACCTTTTTTTTAATCCACAATGGCCCAAATACCTCGTGAGATTATTCAGCATGGATCACAAAGCCATGGCATATTTTATGTGCCAAAAAGTCTTAACATGTAACATTAATCAAAGCTGTTACGCTTGAGCAGCAACTGAATAAAAGCATTTAATCCAGAAACGATTCCTTTAAGGCACTAAAGTTGCATTAGAAGCACAAGGCAACAGAATCCCTAAAAACATCAGATTTTAATCCCACTTTGTAAATTCTGCTGCCATATTGGAGACAAACTCCAGAAACTGAGACATGTTGCATTGCTGAAGATTGGAAACTTTAGTGCAAAAGCAGAAACCTCGAGTCTCATCTGAATTCACCAAAAAACAACAAAAAAATCAGCATGCATCCTAATTCTGAAGTAATTCGGTGTGAGTCTCAAACTAAACTCAAAGCTGCAGAAGAGAATTAGGGCCACACAAAAATATCTGACTTCTTTTTTAAAAAGTTCCCTCAGAAATTCTCACTTTTAGAATCTCAGAAATGTTTTAGAAAAAAAAAACTGGGACATTTCTTGTGCTCTGAAAGTTGAAAATTTGTTTGAAATTTGCAAATTGTCTTTGCAATTCTAGTCTTAAAATTAAAATCTGTCAAATCTGTGACAGGCTTAATCTCATAAGAATATTTTTATATACTAACATAGTTAAACATTTAAGAATGTTTGGATATTTAGATTTTGACAAAATTATGAGACAAAATTCATTTTTCTCAGCGGCTCTAATTGTCTTCCATACAAATCGGTTTCCTCGGGAATCTTCTGTTTACAGCTTCTTGGCGCAGTCGGGGCAGTAGATTTGCTCTGCGTTGATGACGAAGCGCTTGTTGGCGAGGGACAGGGAGCATTTCTTGCAGGTGAAGCAATACTCGTGCCAGGAGAATCCCTCGTAGTTCACCACGTTGGTGCCATGACCGAACCCTGCAGAGCAGACACGGGTTGGCGTCAACTTCAGTTAACAGAAAAAATAAACACTGATGTTGTCGCTTTATATCCAGAAAGGAGCAGATTTGGGATCTTAAATCAGATTCCCAGTATGAACAACGGCGATCGTAAAAAGTTGATTCAGAGGAGCATATAGTGGGACAGATTGATGCATCCATGTATTTAGACTTATTTTAGTGATTTTACTGCCTTTATTTCTGACATCTGACTCAGATTTTATTACAATGGAAAAGAAAGACAAACGTGAACATAATGGTATCATAATATTTTGTTTTCCCAAATATTTCACCAGCCTGACTAAAGAAACTCAATTTTTATGTCGCGGAAAACTCTCCTACTTTTGATTTTCTAATTGTATTAAATGCAATAGTGTTGGTTTGAATTAAAGGAAATTTCAAAGTAAAGTTTTAGTTTGCACAGAGCACTTAATAAAAGTACCAAAACAGAATAAATTAGAGAATTTCTCTGGGATTCTCTATTTTCTTAATGATTGTTTTTGCCTCAGTGAGTTTTTCTGGACTGAAACAGCCTACAAAACAACATGATTTCTGTTTTTTAGTATTTAAAAAGCAGTTCAAGTTGCCCAAAATACAGAAATGTGATTTATTTTTTAAACATCAAAGTGGAATACTGTGAAAAGATGCAGTGAATTAATATTAATCTTTCTGCTGGCAAACTTACTCAGTTGAAATCAGGGTTAGATTCAAACCCAATGTGTCTATTTCTTTTTTATTATTATTTTTAAATAAAGATCCGACCTGTGATTGGGTTCTTGCAGCCGTGGCACTTCTTGGCCACGTCGGTCTTGTAGCAGTCCACACAGTAAACGAGATCCTCGTGGGAGGTGAAGCGCGTCCCTGCCAGAGGTTTACGGCACGTCTCGCACACAAAGCACTCCGAGTGCCAGGGCTGGTCCTGGTAGCTGATCCCTCCAGAGGTGATGGGCTTTAAGAGCAGCATGCTGGTCACGACGCTGAGCTCAGAAAGCCTGAACAACAACAAACTGGCTTCATACCTGCTTGCACTTGAAGCATTTCTTGGCAAACTTCTTCTCGTGGCACGGAGCGCAGTAGATGTCATCGCCTCTGGCCAGGAAGCTCTGCGTGCGGATTGGCTGCTTGCACTCGAAGCAGGTGAAGCATTCGTCGTGCCACACCTTGTTCTTATACTCCACGTTCTGCGACCCTAAAGCACAAAACAGCGACTGCTGAAACTTTATGAAGTGCACTTGAAGAATTGAAGAGAATTACCTGCATTTTCACAACCTGACCAAAACAAAGATGTCTTTTGTTTTTGGACTCATTCTGTTCACTTTATGCATTTGAGCATGACTACACACTGGACATCCTTAAATATAATTAAAACTAAAATAATTAGGAGACAGGAGATGAAACGTGAGGCTAGGGGAAAGATGATGAAAAGCCCAAAGGTCATTGTCGATAAAGAAAAGAGTAAATTTTAACCCAAAAATTTCACATTAGTCTGAGAAATTTTCTAGAGGAAATCTTGGAAATTTTTTTAGAAAATTTCTGATTAGTCTTTAAATTTAAGGTTTCTTTTCCTTCAACTTTTCAATCTCAGAAATTTTCAAAATTTTTCTACAAAATGTTTTAGATTAATTTCAAAATATTTGTAATTTTTTCTCCGTTTTGTTTTGTTTTCTTATTCCTATGATGGCCCTAATAATACCCCATTGCATCATCCTCTTTCAACTGATCCAAGACAAGATTTCAGATTATTTTAAAGTATTTATACACCAACTACTTTTTAAATGTATATTTTTTATAGATTCAAGACGTTGGGATTAACTTTCTTTTGACACTTTTCCCAAAGATCTAGTTTAAACTGGTTATTTAGTGAAGTTTTTGTTGTCAGGCTTTATTTATTTTTAAGTAATAAATAAGAATAAATAAAAAAAATACCTGACAGAATGAGTTACTGGACTGAAAATGAATGAAAAGCAGCCAAAATCCAAAGAAAAACTTTCAAACACTAACAAAATGTTTACTTTATTCATTAATTTAACCTTAATTAGTTCAGGGAGTCTTTTCAAGCCCCATTCAATGTTATGTCCTCATTTATAACCATAAGACAAACATTATAAAAGTGGAGAAAACTACAATCTGACCCACCTGGCATCACCACCTTGTAGCAGCCCTGGCAGCGGTTGCCGTCCTCCCTGGAGCCGCACTTCCCACACATGATCTTGCCATCGTCTCGGGCGCTAAACGGCTCGTTAGCCAGAGGCTTGTAGCATTTGGCGCATCGGAAACAATCCTCATGCCAATGGCGGTTCTTATGGTGGAGCTCCTAAACACACAAAAGGAGGTGTGTAAGTTTAGAAAGCGTCCTGCAGATATCATCAAACTTTCACACTGCAAAAACAAAACATATTATAGTGCAAATGTCTCTGGACACTTGAATTAAAACAAAACTAACATCCACCACATAGAAGCTTGTTTTAAGTAAACAATTTCCTAATATTGATGAGAAACTAAACATTTTTCCCATATGTGAAATAATCTCCTGTTTCCATCAACATTATCAGCCAAGTTCATTCATAAAGAACATTTCAACGACGAGGCAGTTCAAAGTGCTTTATGTCACTAAAACACAGCAATAAAAAGTCACAAAAACAACATGAGAAACTAATTACATTTTGAAATGTGTCAATAACAAAATCAGGAATTTTTTACTCCAAACAAGCTTCTATATCCTGCCAAAAAGTTACTTGCAAGTTAGTTTTGTTTTATTTTAAGTTTACTGAGATAACAGGTTAATTTTAGCAACATATATAATAGAAAAATCTTCCTATAAATGAATAATCTGCCAGTGGAACATGCACTTTTTCATAAATATTAATATTGACTTAAAACAATCTGTTTCTTGTGAACTAGTTTTAATTCCACTGTTGTATTTGCACTGGAAATACTTTGTGTTTTTGCAGTGTATGTGACAGAGCATATTTGTGAAATAGATGATGATTTGATGGTTTTTAAGAGGTATTTACTCACCTTTGCTGGGATTCCTGTCAATAAAATCCAGCCTGTACTTTGACTGGGCCATTTTAATCACAGTTGGCTGAATTGATTTATTTCATGGTGGTATGTTTAGTGGTCAGCCACCAGCATTTCCCAGTATTTAGTTTCATCCACTTTGAGTTTTGTTTAATCAGAGAAAACAAAAATACTCCACAGTTCTCCATAAGTTTTAGGTGTTTTGCTCAATTTTATTTTAATTTATCAAGAAAATCTCAAAATAAACTTCATTCATATCAGCCTGTTCAATTTCAAATATCTCAACCATAAGCACCTGTTTGTTCACCTTCTTACCTTTGAGTCAGCTCCGATTGGGCGTTTGCACTCTGCACAGGTGTTGGCGCAGAGTTTGTCGAAGCACTTGGTGCAAACGTGCTTCTCGTCCTTCTTCACGTACTTCTTGCCGTGCAGGTTGTCGCGGCAGTAGTAGCAGTCGAAGCGATCAGTCATGGTGGAGGTGAGGTAACTCCTGGGGCCTAAAACAAAGACAGCGAAGGGGTTAAGTCAAAATGGACAGAAGTCACTTATCATGCAAATTGTACTTAACAACAAATAAGTATAAAAAAGTTTTCTTTCATTCTATCTCATAATTATGCATTTATTTGTGTTGGTCTGTCTGATAAAATCCAAATTAAATAAATTAAAGTTTGTAGCTGCAGCATTTAAAGGGTATTAATACTTTATCAAGACCCACAAACTTTACTCAAGTAAAAGTAAAAAATTAGCCATCCAATAAATTACTTAAGTGTAAAAGAGTAGCTGATCAAAACATTAATCATTTATTATCCAAAAATTACCGTGGACCAAAGTATGCAGTTATGTGGAAATTTTGGCATTTTAAGGATGAAAATTACAATAATTCATATGAGTAACAAAAAATAACAAAATGTTTACAAATCAGTTTATTTAAATGAAAGACTTGTGAAACTTTAACAAAAACTGCAGCTCTGTGTGTTTGTGAATTATTTGTTAAAACATAATTGTTTTGTCATTCAGTGGGTAGAAAATCTAGAAATTGTATTTAATTAGTTCATAATAAAAGTACTCAAGTAAGAATAAAAAAGTATTTAGTAAAGTACATAATCAACAAGACCAAAATATAAAGTGGAAATTTTAGTATTTTAAGGGGTAAAAATTCAAATAAGTAACAAAAATAATGAAATCTGGCAAAATATTATTTTCCAAATCAGTTTCTTCCAATATAAAATAGTTTAAACTTTAACAAAAACGAGTAAAAACATTCAAGTGTAACCGAGTAAATGTAAGTATTTACTACTGAACTCTGTAAGTCTCTAAGTTATGAGAATGACTTGTTGAAGTGAAACCAGGGGTTGAGGCTTAATGAGGACCGGGTGTTGAGGACCGGGTGTTGAGGACCGGGTGTTGAGGACCGCATGTTGAGGACCGGGTGTTGAGGACCGCGTGTTGATGACTGTTGAGGACTGGGTGTTGAGGACCGCGTGTTGAGGACCGCGTGTTGAGGACCGGGTGTTGAGGACCGGGTGTTGATGACCGTGTGTTGAGGACCGCGTGTTGAGGACCGCGTGTTGAGGACCGCGTGTTGAGGACCGCGTGTTGAGGACCGCGTGCTGAGGACCGGGTGTTGATGACCGCGTGTTGAGGACCGGGTGTTGAGGACCGCGTGTTGAGGACCGCGTGTTGAGGACCGCGTGTTGAGGACCGCGTGCTGAGGACGGGTGTTGAGGACCGGGTGTTGAGGACCGCGTGTTGAGGACCGTGTGTTGAGGACCGGGTGTTGAGGACCGTGTGTTGAGGACTGGGTGTTGAGGGCCGCGTGTTGAGGACCGCGTGTTGAGGACCGGGTGTTGAGGACCGGGTGTTGAGGACCGTGTGTTGAGGACCGGGTGTTGAGGACCGTGTGTTGAGGACCGCGTGTTGAGGACCGCGTGTTGAGGACCGCGTGTTGAGGACCGGGTGTTGAGGACCGGGTGTTGAGGACCGCGTGTTGAGGACCGCGTGTTGAGGACCGGGTGTTGAGGACCGTGTGTTGAGGACCGGGTGTTGAGGACCGTGTGTTGAGGACCGGGTGTTGAGGACCGCGTGTTGAGGACCGCGTGTTGAGGACCGCGTGTTGAGGACCGGGTGTTGAGGACCGGGTGTTGATGACCGCGTGTTGAGGACCGCGTGTTGAGGACCGGGTGTTGAGGACCGGGTGTTGATGACCGTGTGTTGAGGACCGCGTGTTGAGGACCGCGTGTTGAGGACCGCGTGTTGAGGACCGCGTGTTGAGGACCGCGTGTTGAGGACCGCGTGCTGAGGACCGGGTGTTGAGGACGCGTGTTGAGGACCGGGTGTTGAGGACAGTGTGTTGAGGACCGGGTGTTGAGGACCGTGTGTTGAGGACCGCGTGTTGAGGACCGTGTGTTGAGGACCGGGTGTTGAGGACTGCGTGTTGAGGACCGCGTGTTGAGGACCGCGTGTTGAGGACCGCGTGTTGAGGACCGGGTGTTGAGGACCGCGTGTTGAGGACCGGGTGTTGAGGACCGCGTGTTGAGGACCGCGCGTTGAGGACCATGTGTTGAGGACCGCGTGTTGAGGACCGTGTGTTGAGGACCTCGTGTTGAGGACCGTGTGTTGAGGACCATGTGTTGAGGACCGGGTGTTGAGGACCACGTGTTGAGGACCGGGTGTTGAGGACCGGGTGTTGAGGACCATGTGTTGAGGACCATGTGTTGATGACCGGGTGTTGAGGACCGGGTGTTGAGGACCGCGTGTTGAGGACCGCGTGTTGAGGACCGCGTGTTGAGGACTGCGTGTTGAGGACTGGGTGTTGAGGACCATGTGTTGAGGACCATGTGTTGAGGACCGGGTGTTGAGGACCGGGTGTTGAGGACCATGTGTTGAGGACGGGTGTTGAGGACCGCATGTTGAGGACCGCGTGTTGAGGACCGCGTGTTGAGGACCGCGTGTTGAGGACCGGGTGTTGAGGACCGGGTGTTGAGGACCGCGTGTTGAGGACCGCGTATTGAGGACCGTGTGTTGAGGACCGCGTGTTGAGGACCGCGTGTTGAGGACCGCGTGTTGAGGACCGCGTGTTGAGGACCGTGTGTTGAGGACCGCGTGTTGAGGACCGCGTGTTGAGGACCGCGTGTTGAGGACCGCGTGTTGAGGACCGGGTGTTGAGGACCGCGTGTTGAGGACCGCGTGTTGAGGACCGTGTGTTGAGGACCGCGTGTTGAGGACCGTGTGTTGAGGACCGCGTGTTGAGGACCATGTGTTGAGGACCGCGTGTTGAGGACCGCGTGTTGAGGACCGGGTGTTGAGGACCGGGTGTTGAGGACCGGGTGTTGAGGACCGCGTGTTGAGGACCGCGTATTGAGGACCGTGTGTTGAGGACCGCGTGTTGAGGACCGTGTGTTGAGGACCGCGTGTTGAGGACCGCGTGTTGAGGACCGCGTGTTGAGGACCGCGTGTTGAGGACCGCGTGTTGAGGACCGCGTGTTGAGGACCGCGTGTTGAGGACCGGGTGTTGAGGACCGCGTATTGAGGACCGTGTGTTGAGGACCGCGTGTTGAGGACCGCGTGTTGAGGACCGCGTGTTGAGGACCGTGTGTTGAGGACCGGGTGTTGAGGACCGCATGTTGAGGACCGCGTGTTGAGGACCGCGTGTTGAGGACCGCGTGTTGAGGACCGCGTGTTGAGGACCGTGTGTTGAGGACCGGGTGTTGAGGACCGCGTGTTGAGGACCGCGTGTTGAGGACCGGGTGTTGAGGACCGCGTGTTGAGGACCGGGTGTTGAGGACCGGGTGTTGAGGACCGGGTGTTGAGGACCGGGTGTTGAGGACCGGGTGTTGAGGACCGCGTGTTGAGGACCGCGTGTTGAGGACCGTGTGTTGAGGACCGGGTGTTGAGGACCATGTGTTGAGGACCGTGTGTTGAGGACGGGTGTTGAGGACCATGTGTTGAGGACCGCGTGTTGAGGACCGCGTGTTGAGGACCGCGTGTTGAGGACCGCGTGTTGAGGACCGTGTGTTGAGGACCGTGTGTTGAGGACCGGGTGTTGAGGACCGCGTGTTGAGGACCGCGTGTTGAGGACGCGTGTTGAGGACCGGGTGTTGAGGACCGCGTGTTGAGGACCGCGTGTTGAGGACCGCATGTTGAGGACCGCGTGTTGAGGACCGGGTGTTGAGGACCGCGTATTGAGGACCGTGTGTTGAGGACGCGTGTGAGGACCGTGTGTTGAGGACCGCGTGTTGAGGACCGTGTGTTGAGGACCGGGTGTTGAGGACGCATGTTGAGGACCGTGTGTTGAGGACCGCGTGTTGAGGACCGCGTGTTGAGGACGCGTGTTGAGGACCGCGTGTTGAGGACCGTGTGTTGAGGACCGGGTGTTGAGGACCATGTGTTGAGGACCGGGTGTTGAGGACCGCATGTTGAGGACCGTGTGTTGAGGACCGCGTGTTGAGGACCGCGTGTTGAGGACCGCGTGTTGAGGACCGGGTGTTGAGGACCGTGTGTTGAGGACCATGTGTTGAGGACCGCGTGTTGAGGACCGCGTGTTGAGGACCGTGTGTTGAGGACCGGGTGTTGAGGACCATGTGTTGAGGACCGGGTGTTGAGGACCGCGTGTGTTGAGGACCGCGTGTTGAGGACCGCGTGTTGAGGACCGTGTGTTGAGGACCGTGTGTTGAGGACCGCGTGTTGAGGACCGCGTGTTGAGGACCGGGTGTTGAGGACCGGGTGTTGAGGACCGGGTGTTGAGGACCGCGTGTTGAGGACCGCGTGTTGAGGACCGCGTGTTGAGGACCGTGTGTTGAGGACCGCGTGTTGAGGACCGTGTGTTGAGGACCGCGTGTTGAGGACCGCGTGTTGAGGACCGCGTGTTGAGGACCGGGTGTTGAGGACCGGGTGTTGAGGACCGCGTGTTGAGGACCGCGTGTTGAGGACCGCGTGTTGAGGACCGCGTGTTGAGGACCGTGTGTTGAGGACCACGTGTTGAGGACCATGTGTTGAGGACCGCGTGTTGAGGACCGCGTGTTGAGGCGGGTGTTGAGGACCGGGTGTTGAGGACCGTGTGTTGAGGACCGTGTTGAGGACCGCGTGTTGAGGACCGCGTGTTGAGGACCGCGTGTTGAGGACCGGGTGTTGAGGACCGCGTGTTGAGGACCGCGTGTTGAGGACCGGGTGTTGAGGACCGGGTGTTGAGGACCGGTGTTGAGGACCATGTGTTGAGGACCGGGTGTTGAGGACCGTGTTGAGGACCGTGTGTTGAGGACCGCGTGTTGAGGACCGCGTGTTGAGGACCGGGTGTTGAGGACCGCGTGTTGAGGACCGTGTGTTGAGGACCGCGTGTTGAGGACCGCGTGTTGAGGACCGTGTGTTGAGGACCGCGTGTTGAGGACCGCGTGTTGAGGACCGCGTGTTGAGGACCGCGTGTTGAGGACCGGGTGTTGAGGACCGCGTGTTGAGGACCGGTGTTGAGGACCGCGTGTTGAGGACCTGTGTTGAGGACCGG